GCCCCATAGAGCTTACAATGTGAAATAGATTGAAGAAGGAAAGGAAGGAGAGAAAAGGCAAGGTAATGGGGGGCGGATAGGCACGACAGATTAATGCTATTAAAAAATTCCCTTCTTCCCCTCCTTTATCTCATCCAGCAAACACTCCAAATGCTCATGACTTATCAGGGGTGCCAACTTGAATAAAATATTGGTGGAGGAGCAGGTAAACCCTGCCCTACACAATTGATTACAAGGCGTGGCACATGCATACCATTTGAATGGCAATGCTCATCAACTGCGGGTGGCCCTCTCAAATATTTTATGGGAGAGCTGAAGGGATCTTAGACCCTAGCAGTTCTGCATTCCCTTTTGCCCTGAACTTTCTAGGTACAGATCTGTGTTTTCCCAGTCTGTGTCCAAGCACTCTGGATTGGTACTGTTATGTACTCAGCTGAATCCTAGAACAATAGGATCCAGAATGCAGCAGTCTGATTGGTCCGCAGGAGCCACCCAATCCAGCTCCAGGTGGAAGTGAATCAGTGACCTGATTGGCCTGCAGGAGCAGCCTATCAGGTTCCTGGATGAAGTGAATCAGCAACCTGATTGGCCTACAGGAGCAGCCCGGAATTAGCCAATCACACAGGGCCCATTGTGTAAATAATGTATACAGTATATAGCTAGACATTTTGGGAAAAGTTTCATTCATTGCTACTACGAGCTGAATAAAGAGCATGAAATTCACACTCGACTCCAAGTATATTTCAGGAACAAACAGCAAATCAGTTTTCCATGGAATTGTTTTCAGCAGTAAAGACTGGGAAAGCACTGGGGCAAACAAACAAACAAACAAACATTGCACTTGGACATGGAGCTTTAAAGCTCAGACCTGGGCCTAGAAATGAGCCCTGGTTCTTCAGTGGGATGTTTGGGAAAGAGGATTTTCCCTCTGGGGTTGTGTTTTTTTGTTTTTTGGTACTTCTTGAAATATTGGGGTTCTGCCAGTCACGCTGATACCTCTCTCTTGTACATGAATGAAGTCATTTTGGCTACAAAAAGATAAACTCTCAGGGAACAAGTATGCTATTTGTATATACTCGGGTGATATTGTCTTCTTTTTACCTGTCCCTACCTGAATATAAAGGACATGTAGTCTGTGAAATACTCATTGGTCATCTGTACTAGAAGACAGTCGTATTTAATCATTGCTCATCTTCTTCTGCAGTCGGCAGTTAGTTACCGGGGTCTTTCGAGTCACTGCTTCCATGATTGCACATGGATGGCACCAGGCTCACAAATGAAGCAACAGCATGAGAAATGACTGCGGGACATGATTATAGTGAGGAATAATTGAAGGTACTGAAACCTCTAGGCCAGAATAAATTTCAGCCTGCCACTCACACACCGTGCGAGCACTTGCGCGTGTCTTCATTACCATTCAACGGAAATCCCGCACACCCAAGTTTGCAGCGAGCGCTGAGGAAGTCTCACTCACAGGCAGCACAGGCCAAATGGCAGGTAGCAAAACTGTCAGAATAAATGTTTAATGACTCAATAAAGCAGCATGATGGGGAGGGAGGAAGCTACTGAGGGGCGGCGAGAGAAAATACTTACGGCTCCTGTGTGCGGTCACTGCAATTCTGTTTTGCAATTCGATAGCTGGAGCCACTCGTCTTTATTATGGATGAACCATGCTGATAACACACCTGCAGCTGACCAGACTGATGATGGAGAGACACCCAATGTTACAAACATTTTGCAGTCCGAAATCTGTACCTGACTGCCTGTGGCTATGAAACTAAACTGGTGTCTACAGATAGAATGTCAAGCTGCAAACCCATTTGGCAGTGTTTTTGGTGGGTTTTGACCGATTGTTTTTTGGTGTGATTAAGTCATCCTGAAATTATCTCACTTCCCATGAATTGCAGTTTGTTGTTGTTGTTGTTGTTGTTTAAAAAAAGGAATTTTCACTGGGGGGGGAATGCGCTCAAAAGGGAACTTTAATATCATGCGATATGACATTTCTTTTCCATAAAATGTTATTGAAGCATTTCATAATGCAATACAATAAAAAAAACTGATCTAAATGAAAACAAAAACAAAACAGAGGAAACGCAAAGCCCTCTTTCCAATGTTAATCCTTCCTTCACAAAGAAAGGGGTGGACCCTCCCAGCTCCCACCTGGAAGCTTCATTTTAATCTTTTAATCAATGTTCATTTTAAATGATTAAACATACATTTATTTAAATAAAGAAATGTCACCAAATGGTAAATGATTGCAATTTAAAGAAACTTGGCATTTAAATTTTAACAAAAAATGTCCAGAACTCCAAAACATTGTTTTTTTCAAAATCCCACCCATAAATCTTTCATAAACCTCGTGAACAGACTGATATTGTCTCCTGCATCTGGTTGAAAGAAAATGAACAGCAGTTTGGGGTCATAAGAGGCTGCACCAATCCCATTCAGAGCCCCGTTTAACCATGCATGAGCTGTGTTATTCTTTTTTGTATGTCACCCAATGTAAGATCCACTATAAGATTTTGCCAGCACACAATTCTTTCAGTTTGCATTGAGTTGGTGAGACAGTTGCGATTGCTACCAGAAGTTTTTGTAGAAGTTATGGATGACAGCTGGTTAAGACACACAGGCATTGAAATCATTGTCGTGCTGCAGATGATACACCTCAAATATGGCAAGCTTCATCTGCAAACGCACCATGTTACCCTGGGAAAGAAACTGGCACACAATACATGTCAACTTTGGGCATTTTGAAGCGGTCTGTTGAAATTTTGTATGTTTCTGTTTTGCATGTCTGTCAGCATTTGGTACTGTGTACCTCATCTAGAGGCCAATATCAAAACCACTTTATCTGAGATACTGTCCCCTTGCCCTGCTTTAAGTTTCACCAGGACTCTGGCCAGACCAGTGTCCTTGATTTAGAGAAGCTGTCCTGGTTTCTGATTTGATCTCAGAATGTCCCACTTTTCCCTAGTTTCATTGGAGAAATGTTGGAGTTATCCAGCCCCCAAGCCGCCTGAAGGTAATTCCGCATAGGGAAGGTTTTTTTTTTAATGTTTCGTGTTTTATTATGTTTTGATATATGTTGGAAGCTGCCCAGAGTGGCTGGGGCAACCTAGTAAGTTGTGTGGGGTATAAGTAGTCAAATTATCATGATGGAATTGGACATCCCTATTTTTATTGGAGAAATGTTGGAGGGTATGTCTGGCCCGAACTTCCCCTGCCAGTCAGTGGTGGTCGGTGAACTGGGAGTTGAGAGGATGATTTACTTTTTATTTTGTTTAAAAAAGCACAGCTTTTCCTCAGGTCCATCTGAACATATGGGAGATGGAGCAATGCTTGCTAATAGGCAAACCATACCTGCACACAGGGAAAGCCAGGACAGTCAAGAAGACCCTTCCATGAGACAGAAACAGAGGTGGGCTTTAAAGACCTTCTAAAGACTCATCTGGCATTCCCAGGCTCATAACCTTCAGAGCATTGTTCTGTTCTGTTTTATTATTTACTGTTATTTAACTCAACGTTTTATTGATGGCTCCTCTGTTGTACATACATATTTCTTTTAAAAAATTATCTCACTGTGTTTTATGTAAACTGCTTGGGGATTTTGCCTATTAAACAGTATATAAATATTATTCATATTTATTATTCATAAATATCATTATTATTATTATTATTATTATTGGCTTCTCACCATCCATTGGGCCACTGGTCACCTGGGTTTGGACTTTACAAAGTAGCAAGCCTATCTGGGATCCAAGTGTAAGTCTTCCTGAAAAGTTCAAAGCGCAATAGCCTTTCCCAGCCCAAAGCCTGCACTTTATATGTTTAAAAAATGCCTTGTGCTGAATACTTCTTGAGAATACATCCCATCAATGATGACAGCTCGTCTTTTTCACATCAGGGGAAAGTCTTGAGAACAAGCTCTCCCAAATAAATGCTGGATGTCACCATGTGGGGCTGGGTGAGAAAGAGCTATTCTGCTTGAAATTTATCTGGGATGATAATCTCAGGATTACTAAAACACAGAGATGGGGAATATGTATCCTCTGGATGTTGCTGGATTCCAGCTCCTATCAATGAGGGCCAGCATGCCCAATGATTAGGGATGGTGGGAAGCACAGTACAACAACATCTGGAAGAACAATGATTCCCACCTCTGCATGAGAAAGGAATATTTCCCCCTTGGACTTGGGTCTGAGTCCTTGAACTCTTTGAAGCCTGGAATACATTCTCATTCAATTTTATCTGCAAACTGGGAATACAGTGGTACCTCAGGTTACATACGCTTCAGGTTACATACGCTTCAGGTTACAGACTCCTCTAACCCAGAAATCGTACCTCGGGTTAAGAACTTTGCTTCAGGATGAGAACAGAAATCGTGCGGCGGCAGCTGGAGGCCCCATTAGCTAAAGTGGTGCTTCAGGTTAAGAACAGTTTCAGGTTAAGAACAGACCTCTGGAACAAATTAAGTACTTAACCCGAGGTACCACTGTAATAATAAGAGCATTAGAAGGTCGCTGATGGTTCAGCCCAAGATCCATCTAGCCCAGCATCCTGCTTCCCACAGTGGCCAACAAGAGGCACTTAGAAGCTCAAAAATCAGTAAGCGAGAGCAATAGTCTGTTTCCTCTGCTGTTCCCAGTGGCTGGTGTTCACAGCTATTCCAGCTTTGATTCTGGAGGCAGCATGTAGCCAAGATGACTAGTGGCCATTGAAAGCTTGATCCTCCATGAATTCATTTAATTGCCTTTTTAAAGCAGCAGTGATGCAACCAAAGTGGAATCTACACGCATATAGAAAACATTCTGAAAGTGCTTTTTTAAAAAAATACATTGAATTTTCCATAAGGCTCACAATCGCCATCTAGTGTCACATTGTATATTGCACTTAAAAAACACTTAAAATGTTTTATTTGAAGCTACAGGTAGGTAGCCGTGTTGGTTTGCTGTGGTCGAAACAAAATATTAAAAAATCCTTCCAGTAGCGCCTTAGAGACCAGCAAAGTTTGTTATTGGTATGAGCTTTTGTGTGCATGCACACTTCTTCGGATACCCGTCAGATACACTGAAGAAGTGTGCATGCACACGAAAGCTCATATCAATAACAAACTTAGTTGGTCTCTAAGGTGCTACTGGAAGGATTTATTTTATTTTATTTGCAGCTGTATAGCTGAGTCCCAAGTGAAGGTCGGTTGAATGGTGGCACCCCATCCCACTGTCCACTACTGAACAGAACCCTGCTGAGGGCCCCCCAAACCCTGGAGGCAATGCAAAGGAGAGCTGGTGGGAAGACTGGAACTTGGCACTCATTTCCTTCCTTGACATGCCACCTTAACAGGCAGTGGATGCTATCAGCAAGCCAGACCTAGGATGTTGATGAGATATCAAAGCCCATCATCTGCTCCTTTCAAGCTTCCAAAATCCTTGCCAGCTGAGCATGACAGAGCAGGAACTGGAAGCACAAGAGAGACAGAAGGGAACTTATCAGAGCAATGCTTTCCTGTGCAAAGGGAGGGGGGGGACAGGCAACTGAGGATTCTTGTTTTATGTGAACCTTCATTGTCATACCTTAGGCCTTCTGCAAGTCAGAACACAGCACTACTCAATGCAAGTCACACTGAGCTCCTCCCATGTGCCAGCAGGCCACCCCTGCTGATAGGGGTGTGATTAGAACTCGTGCCAAGGGCATCTGAGTTGATGTACAAAGCACATCCCCCCGGTTAAACAAAACACACTTAAAGCAACTCCTTGTTTGTTTTCGTTCTCATTCATCTCGAGAAAATCTTGACCTTCCATCCAAAACAACCACTTGCTTTTAAAATAGACGAATAGAAAGGGAGGAACCAAAAGCCAAAATGTGCTTTCGTCTGGGCTGCTGGTTGCTGCTCAACAGTCCCATTTCAAGCAGCACTTCATTGCTGCGGCAAATTAATCGCAAATGTCCTGGGTTTCATAATGAAGTGTTATAGATTTTTAAGAGCTCTTTGGTCATTCCGTCTTGCTTGAAAGAAAAACGAGGCGAGCACTTAGTATTTTGCCTGCACATTTCATCAAGCCCAAAAGACCTGAAACAGCAGCAGCCTAATGATTATTACCAAGGAGCAAATTTCCCAAGGCTTGGAGGCTGAAGCAAATTAACGCCAGGCTAAACCGAGCCCAGCTCCTAGCCAGGAAGGTCCCTGATTATTTATTTCCTACTTACACCCCAGCCTTCCTTGGGAAGCAAAGGTTCAGACTGAACATTGTGTTCAACAGGCATTTTTAAAAGCCTGCTTAGCAGACTCCTTTTTTAAAAAAGGCATTTTTTGTTGTTGTTGTTGTTTAGTCATTTAGTCGTGTCCGACTCTTCATGACCCCATGGACCAAAGCACACCAGGCACTCCTGTCTTCCTCGGCCTCCTGCAGTTTGGTCAAACTCATGCTGGTAGCTTCGAGAACACTATCCAACCATCTCATCCTCTGTCATCCCCTTCTCCTTGTGCCCTCATCTTTCCCAACATCAGGGTCTTTTCCAGGGAGTCTTCTCTTCTCATGAGGTGGCCAAAGTATTGAAGCCCCAGCTTCAGGATCTGTCCTTCCAGTGAGCACTCAGGGCTGATTTCCTTCAGAATGGATTGATTTTCTTGCAGTCCATGGGACTCTCAAGAGTCTCCTCCAGCACCAGAATTCAAAAGCATCAATTCTCCGGTGATCATCCTTCTTTATGGTCCAGCTCTCACTTCCATACATCACTACTGGGAAAACTATAGCTTTAACTATACGATCCCAACCACCAGATAGGACATGTCGCACATGGGAGATGGTTTAACCCTTTTTCTCCCTGTGCTGTTTTCTTGCCACCGCCACTCCTGCACACACAAACACACAACTCTGCTTTAATTTGCTCCCACATGTGTATTTTCCAGTACGGCATGGGCAGAAGAGAAGCTGAAATAAGGGGGGGGCAAGAAAATGGTATAGGGAAGAAAATGTTGACCCTTCTCCTTTCCTCACATGCTGCAACCCTGAACTGGATTGGGGTTCACCACTCCCCAAAACAACTGCTGCTTGAATCAGGAGGATTCCATGTGCGAACAGGCACACCAGATTGGCTCTGCCAGTGCGTTTGCACCACACTGACCTCGCTGCCACCATACACCTCCTGCTCTCAGACCCCATATGCCAGTCACATGGAAGTCAAATGAGTGCCACAACTCCACCAGACATATATTCTCTCAAATCTTTCCATCCTCCTTCCAGGCATGGAAGAGGCATTTTTGCAGTTTAAGGACACATTCTAGCCAGACAAAAGCACTCAAGGAGGGTGTGGCCTGTGGCTTGGCATGTGGCCTGGGGAGTGCACAGAGGGCCACACTGAGAGGACAGGATGGCCCCACTGGCCCCCAAGCCTAAGGTTCCCCACCCCTGGCGCCATCATTATATATCTTTAGGCACTAGGCAAAAACTGCTCTATAACCAGATTTTTGGCCTTTAACTATCTGTGGCATTTTTGAAGTTTGTGGAATGTTTTTAATGTGCCCCCCCACTTGGTTTTAATGTAGCTATATGGGGTGGGTCTCTTTGGTAGGTTGTAAGTCGCTTTGGGTTTCCTTGGACAAGGTAAAGTGACTAACAAATTTAATAAATAATAATACTATCAGGATACAAAGCGAAAGGAGATTTGAGCCAGGCGACCATAAACAACAGGTCCATTAGCGCCAGTACCTCATTGACTGAGAGGAACTTAATTAATCCCATGATGCAGATCAGATTTGTACACTTACAAAGGCCCTCTGCACATTTCCAGACTTCTACGATGCAAACTATTGCTTTCTTTTCTCTTTTGTGGCAAAGAGAGTTTACTCATGTATGTTAAATCAGAAATCTATAAACGTGCCACACTTAAAAGGCTGAGCGAGGCCTTCCTTAAGCCTTGTGGAGGCCGTCATTCAAGGCAGAGCCATAATAATTAAACAGCTGTGACAGCCACTTCACCCAAGACAGCACAGCTGCATTTTTTCATTGTCTGTCAGTTTGGTATAGGAAGGCAGCATTTGCAGCTATATATTTCCCCCCCTGTAAAAGCTGCCGCTTTATTATTCCAGGCTATAAAATTAAGAACTGCCATGCCAAACTGCATTAGACAGTCAAGGGAAGAAAATATAAACACTGGTAGCTGTAATTGGGGCAAAGAGGGATGATTGATTTGTTGTTTATTAATATTTATTATTGTTTACAGTATTCAAAAATCTATATCCTGCCCTTCCAAAAAAGGTACTTCCTTGGGCAGCTTACAAATAAAATGCAACCTATTAAAAAAGAGAAGGGCATTAAAAGATCATTACACACACACACACACACACACACACACACACATTGTGCACAGAGTGTGAAAGTGAACCAGGTCCACCAGAGTTTTAAGTGAAGTCAGGTAAGATGGAACAAACTGAGATGAAAATTGATCTCCATAGGTAGTGAGGTTGCAGGCTTTTAAGTTCAAAAAATGCTAGGGCCCTAGGTCAGGATCAGTGGCAATAAATAAATAAATAAATAAATAAATAAATAAATAAATAAATATCAGACTGGTTCTAAAGCTCATGAGCTTTGGTTGCCTGCCAGAACATTACGTCACTGGTTGGAGTCACTGAATGGCACTTGACATTCAGTGGGGCTAAAAAAGCAGAGTCAGAACTGCCGAGCTTTTGGAAGGGGCTTCAATGGGCAGAGACTCCTACTCCAAAGAATTATCCCTGCATCCAAAGAGCACCATGAGGTCTCCTGGGACAGGTGGTGGTCTCCACTCCTCACTTCCTCTAGCTTCAGATCTTCTGAGACAGGTAGGACAGCCCTTTTCCTCCTCTTGCTCAAACCACGTCTTCAAAGGCACAGCCTAGCCCCTTCCGTCTCATCTTCAAAATAAGCCATTGAATTTCTGCAAGGGGATGAAATGTATACCACAATTTATGAAATACAGGAAACGGAGGTGTGATCCATCCATTGATGGAATGGAATGCAACTGAAATACGATCGTTTCATGAATATTCTTGAACTTCGGAGGTGCTTTTTATGCAAGCCCTTTTTTTTGTTTTCTCTTTTGATACTGTCATCTTATTTTTTTAAAAAAATAAATAAATGCTAAATTAATTTAGCAGACCTGGGTAGTTTTAAAAGGTTCCCTTCTGACTCCCCCCGAAAACATGCATGACTTGGCTTGTATCCTGTTGCTTTTCATATTCTTTTAAATGGTTTCAAACTTCAAGAGGAAGTTTGACAGCTTGCCTTTCTATGATCAATAGCATGAGTGTGTGCTCCCTGCTCCAGCTTGTACGATGGAATTGGTGTATTAGATTGTTGGCCCAGGTGGATCTTCCATGGGGGCTGTTCACTCCTCTGTCTTGCTCGGGGTGTGGGGTGCAATGAATGAGAAGAGAGGCAAAGAGAACAATCCTGCAGAGATCAGGGCTGCAATTCCAAGCATATTTCCCAGAAAGTAAGTCTCCTTGAACCCACTGGGGCCTGAAGATCAGACTATGAAAGAATCAGCCCTCCCATTTTCCACTAACAAAACTTTACAAGAGAGTTTCAGTCATGAAGCTACAGCAAAGCCACATTAACATTCTCAATTAATTATAACTTTTAAGAAGTTGAAAATAATGAGGCTTCCTTTCAGTAGGGGTCCCCTACCAGGGGTTGGTGAGGACTAAGGGGTTCTGCCAAAGGCTTCACACACACACAAGTTTTGAAGAGAGAGATGAAGGAAGAAAGCAGAGATCACAAGGACAGTGAGGAAGGGGCATAGCTCAGCAGAGCATCTGCTTTGCATACAGAAGGTCCTAGGTTTAATCCCCAGCATCTCCACCTGGGAATTATCCCTGTTTCAAACCCTGAAGAGTCACTGCCAAGATGGACTGACTTGGTATAAAATAGCTTCCTATGTTCTATAGAGAAGATCACACTTGATCTTAGCCAAAAGGCCAAGAAGACTGTGTGCCCGGTCAACAGATTAGAGGTGATACTGAGCTGCTTCGCCAACTGAAAGCTTAGCAAGACTGCATGAATGTGCAGCCTCCCAGAACAAACTTTGCTTACAGCTTCAGGTTAGTGAGGTGAGAGTCCCTGTTTGGATAAAACCTTGGATT